TTTAAACCCATTTTTCTTTCATTGTCTTCTTTTATGTTGGATAACATCTGGCTACTGACTCTCAAATGACCACATTTTAAATCCTCCACAAAGATTCAGATTGTATTTCTGCACACAGATATTGCAGAGAAGTCGGCTTCCAAAGGGATCCCAAATGCAATATTTCAGAGAGGCAGAAGCCCTGACCTTGTAATGCCTGGATGTCAGGACCAGCTCTACCTCTCACTAGCTTGGGCAAAATAAAGGAAATGACATGTAAATTAAAGATCAAAGTTCATACTCTACGTATCTCACTGGGCTGTTGAGATAGTCGTTGGAGATACCTAAATGAAAGCTTTGCGAATTATAAAGCACAATACAGACATATATGATATATGATACTTTAAACAATCTTAATTTTTCTTATAGGTTCTAGAGCCTCGTTTTAATGTAGAAACAATGGCTCAGTTATTGAACATCCCACCAAGTAAGACCCTGTTGCGAAGACATTTGGCCACTCATTTCAACCTTCTGATTGGTGCTGAGGCCCAACACCAGAAGCGTGATGCCATGGAGTTACCAGATTATGTACTTCTCACAGCCACTGCCAAAGTGAAGGTTTGTTCAAGCCCACACCATTTAATAATTTATTAAAGCAATAATCAGTTAAAGCCAAAAACTAAAGCAAAGGCTCAATTTTGACTGTTACTTGGCTATCTTATTTTCTGGGGTTTACTAAATTTTGTGGATTGGTTGAACGTAAATGCATCTTTAAGAGTAATCATGAAAATGCATTTTTGAAAGTTACCTCCTGGGAGAATCTTTGCTCAAATCATTTATTTTACTAGAGTTACCAATAATAAAGAACATGATGTTGGTTTCTATAATTGATACTTTGCCAATGCACAAGGCCTATAAGTTGGACCCCAGTACTGATTGCAGTGTCCTGTTTTTCCTACAGATAAATCAAGTATAAGAGTTCCATTTCTCCTTTTACAGATTCAGCTCATCTGGTTTATAATTGACCAACCTTGCAAGTTAGGAAAAGATACTTAAGAAACGTTCTGCTGATAGACCAGCAGAGAAAGGATACTCCTACTTTGCCTGGATACATAAATCATATAGCATTAGGATTGCTTTTTCTTCTTTTAAATCATTTCTATGTTAACTCCTCTGAGTGTTCTCTCAACTAGCTTAATTGTAGAGATAGGGTTTATCAGCTCCTTCACAAATAGGTACCAAGTGTTTTTGTTTTGTTGTGTTGTGTTGTGTTGTGTTGTGTTGTGTTGTGTTGTGTTGTGTTACGTTACCCCCTCTACCTGCTTGACACTTTCTCTTCAGCTCCCTTTCTCCTTAAAAGATGTGCCAGATTTGAAACCTCTGAGAGAATCTGTTCTATATACATTCACAGCATCAGCATGATCACCATCTCCTTAACAGATAGTCTCAGGGACTATCCAGTGACTAAAATGGAGATTCCTTTCCAAGTATCATTGGAAATTTTTCTCCAAAAGAACAGGGACTCTTTTAGCAGTCACCTGGATGCAGAACAGGCATACAAGATACTATAGCCTCACCCAAAATGAAAATACAGTAAGGACCATTTTCTTCTACCGATCTTAGATCAGAAAACCTTATAAAATTGGATTTAGTCCCGAGGAATCCCATTGCATTAAGTCCCGTTTAATCAAAAATTAAGGCTCTTGGCATATTTTGCTTTTAATACTGTGACTACCCAGCCAGTTGGTATGAATAAGGAGATTCATGACAGGGGTCATTTATCATGTTTGGATGCATCGATCATATGCCTAGGATGCCTTCGTTTTTCTTATACAAATCTAATCATTCAATTGCTCTTCTGTGTATGATGAAGTGAATAAGTTATACATATCCTTTGTCATATGATTTTTATGACAAAACGACAATATGAATTTTATCAAATCCTTGGATTTTTTTTTCTTCTTTCTTTCTCTTAAAGCCAAAGAAACTTACCTTCAGCAATTTTGGGAATCTGAGAAAAAAGAAACAGGAAGATGGGGAAGAGTATGTTTGTCCAATGGAATTGGGACAGGCATCAGGAAGTACATCTAAGAAAGGATTTAAACCTGGTTTGGACATGCGCCTATATGATGAAGATGATTTGGACCGGTTAGAGCAGGTAAATACAACACTGTATATGTATTTTAAAGTTCTTCCAGCATTGAAACACTAAATGGAAATTTTGTGTACTGTGTCTTCTAATCAAGGAAGTTTTCTTTAAATGCCTATAAAAAAAGATAATAGTGAGTAATAATAGTGAACCCTTACAGATTGCTTACTACATCCCAGGCACTGTCTTAAGTACTTAACATATATTAATGTTCATGGTAATCTTAAAACATAGAGAGTATTGTTATCCTAATTATGGAGATAAAGATACTGAGACACAGAGAGATTTAGTAACTTAGCTAAGGCAGAAGAGCTGGGATTCTAATTTGCCAGCCTGCTCCAAAGCCTGTGCCACTTACCTATGTTAGACTGTCTCTATATTAAGGCAACCTGTGTATTAAAACAAGTCAGGAATGGATAGTTTATATTACTTAGCCTTTTCAGTATTAAGTCATGAGACTGAATATTGCCTTTTATTCAAAATTCCTTTGGTGCTATTGTCAACATCAGAGCATTAGGTTAGATGTACCAATAAAGTCTCTTCTAATTTTTAACATCCAATTGCAATAATGAGAGGAAATTATCATCAGAAGTGATCTGTTGCTCCTACCCCATTCAATACAACTTGCATTATTTCTTCTTAGACTTGTTTATTTTGCTGCAATTTCCTCATTATAGCGCGACTGAGTATGTCATGTTATGGTATGTTCTTTGCAGATGGAAGATTCAGAAGGGACAGTGAGGCAGATAGGTGCATTCTCTGAAGGCATCAACAACCTAACGGTAAGTCTGTAAAATGAATTTGAAATCTTATTCTAAATATATGTTTGAAAACAACCCCAAGGGACTACATGTATATAGTAGAGAATGTGTAGTTCGGAGCTCTTGGCTCTCAGTGTGTATGACTCCCATCTCCCTGTTTTCCAGCACATGTTAAAGGAAGACGACATGTTTAAAGATTTTGCTGCCCGTTCCCCCAGTGCCAGCATCACTGATGAAGACTCAAACGTTTGACCATAGCACCTGGATGAACATTAGGAGCCCTTGGTCTCTCTCTATTTCTCAAACACTCACAGTATATACAACAAGCAGCAGATTATATATTGGTTATTGTTTCAACTTCTCATCTGGAAGTGGAAATGGAAAGCAGGGGATATGTGCCTATTCTAAAGTTGCCGCAGAAAGTGAGACACTGGTGAATGAGAGTAGAATTGTTTTTCCTCTATTTAATGTAAAAATCTGTGATATATTATATTTAAAATATTGCAATTAATATGAATACTTCACCGTAGTGTTTCCACTCACATTCACAGTGTGGACGGTTTGGGAAGCAGTAACCCGTATGTGGGTGATTATGTCCTGTTGGTGTGACAGCACTGCAGACATTGAAGCAGAACACGATATGCTCTCAAAATTAAATATGTAGAATTTCTTTAAGCATTCAGTGTCCCACTAAATGCCAGCCACACATCTACTTGCCTCTTACTGTCCTATTTTTATATATTTTTCTAAATAAATGTATATATTTAGTACATAGAATATAGAACTTTTATTTTATGACATAAGGAAGATGGTAAAAAAGATCACACTGAAAAACATGTTCATATACCAGCTAGTTCTTGGAGAGGTCAGGACAGTCTTTCTCTACAATTGAATTTTAATGATGTTGATCATTCAACTAAATTAGTATGTATAAAACAACCCTTCTTTGATGACACATCACAAAGTAGTTAATTTTTTAAGAATTTCAACCTTAATCTTGGATTATTTTAACTCATAAGGAAGAACTCGAGGGAGTTTTAAATACTGTAACTTGAATGCATTCAGAAGCTTCCCCCAAATTTGTAGAAATGATTTCTGAAGAAACCAAACCAAAACAAAAACCTTTACAGTATTCTTATTTTCCTTTTTGCTAAATATATCATTACATCGAAAAACTAACAGTCTGACTGTTATTAATTGTACATTTCTCAGGCTATCAACGAATGGAATCTTTAAAAAAAAGTGGAATATTTGAACATTTTGCCTCAGAGTTCATTAACTCTGAGGCAGCAAAATTAGTTTTATAATGGCTATATTGTGATAAAATATAGTTCATGTTTTTCTGTAGCATGGGGCCCAGATATTCTTTATAAAGAAAATGAAAGCAACAGCAAAAACTGTTACTGTGTTTATGATTTTTTTAGGAGTATTAGGAAAAAATATTGTTTTCACTATACCATTATTCATGATAGCCAACTGTGGTAAAGACAGGTTTTCAAAAATTGACATGGGCTAGGTAGTTCGATTTATGTCAGTGGACTTGCTTATAAACTGTATTTGAATGTCAGCCGTATGATCTTTCAAGTTATCAGCAACTTACCAAGCTTTTCGTCAAGGAACCTGTTAATACTGAATTACTATTCATTCATAACTAAAATGACTTGATGCTAATAATAACCTTTTGCTCCCTATCATTCATTATTTGGTAACTGTATTGGACTCTTACTGAACTTGTGTTTTATTTTGATGTGGATATACATCACCATTTGAAAAATAATTTGTTATTCAAACCTGGTTAAAAATACCAGGAGACTGCTATAGATGCCAAATATATTTTATTCAGGACAATGTAACATAACTGATGAGATGATAAGGTTAAATTTTTCTGATGAAATATATTTTATTTTACAAAGTATTATACACTGCCGCTATCACCATATGAAAAGAAATAAAGTCAATTGATAATTGCCACATATTTTTATTGTCTGTCACTTTATTTTCTTTTGTTCAGAATAACCAGTAGGCTTTATTTCTGATATGAGAACAATAACACAAACACAAACTCCCATAAATTTGTTTGGGGTTTATAGCATGTATCTGCAAGTAGAAATTTGAGGCCTTTGAGGTATACTTTTGTTGAAAAGTAACAGGCAGCTGAGCTGGGGGATGAAGGATCATGGCAGAAGGGACCTCAGAAAAGGAAAGAGAAATGATTCACCTGTTAATTTGAAGAAGTTAGCTGTGGGAAGTGTATGGTTCTTTAAAGAATTAAATGCTATTTCTAATTTAACAAATTTGAAAAGAGGAAACATCTTGGAAGAGATTACTAAATATTGAAAATAGAGAGAATATAACTAGAGAAGAACAGACTTTTTGGTGGAAGTTAATACTTCTAACTGAATAAACCAGTAGGAATCTACATGAATACAACACACCCAGTCGGCAAACAGGGAGGCCTGTTTGTTTAGCTATATGTATATATGCTCAGCTATGCCAAGTAAGCTGTGGAGTTAGAAAACTGAAACCACATTAACAGATGCGACTTTGCTGCAAGATTTTCAGATGCTGAAAAGACGTTCTGAACAAAGTTCACATGTTTGATATTTGGAGGCAGTATTGATTGGGTGCAGAGAAAATGGGACAAAAACCATCTCAAGAGTTGGCTCTGAAGGACAGCAAAGAGGATCTCAGCATCTGTGAGGTGGTCAGTGGCGCTATAGTCCATGCAGCTCAGAAACTGAAGGAGTATCTTGGATTCGAAGACCCTCTGAGCAATCTGTGCCCAGCTCCAAACACTCTGAACGAGATCTTCTTAATCCACTTCATCACTTTCTGCCAAGAAAAGGGAGTTGATGGGTGGCTCACCACCACCAAGATGACAAAGCACCAGGCCTTCCTGTTTGGGGCGGACTGGATCTGGACTTTTTGGGGATCTGACAAGCAAATAAGGCTTCAGCTGGCGGTACAGACTCTGCAGATGTCTTCTCTCCCTCCTGTGGAATCTACACCTTGTGACCTCTCCAATCCGGACGCCAAGGCAGAGGAGTCTTCCGGGAAGAGAAGTAGATTTGATAAGTTGGAAGAATTCTGTAAATTGATAGGAGAGGATTGTCTGGGCCTGTTCCTCATCTTTGGTGTGCCAGGAAAGCCTAAAGACATCAGAGGAGTTGTCCTGGACAGTGTCAAAAGTGAGACAGTGAGGGGTGGTCTCCCAGGAGAGAAGGCCGTGACACAATTTGTCCTGGAAACTGAAGACTGTGTCTCTATCAGAGAGCTGCTTGGAAACTGTCTGAGTAAGAAAGATGGGCTAAGGGAGGTGGGCAAGGTTTATATCAGCATCCTCTGAACTGGTTATGTGTGATGAGACTGGCCTGTAAGATGAAAAGAAAAAGATATTTTGTTCTAGTAAGCAAGATCATCCACTTGCATCATCTCAGCATGAGATTCCCCCCGACCCTCCATTGAATGAAAATTATCACCTGGGTCAAAATGTATAAGTGTCATGATTATGGAGAGAAAAAAAACCCAGCCCATTTTGCAGGGAAAACTGACAATTTGGCTTAATCTTTATTTACTCAATAATAAAAGAGGAATTTGATTTGCCAAAAAAAAAAAAAAAAGTCTTTATTTGAAACAATAAGTCTAGCTCTTAAAAGTGTAAAATATGTTTTTATTGCCATGGGTGGGAGATAGGAGGGTGGGGTGGTGGGTGCGTAAAACTGCATAACAGGTGTAATTACATTTACAACACCAGTTTCAATTCAGGACTCCTAAGCAAAACCCCGCACTGCTTTCTTCCTTGAACCCCTGCCCTTACTCCTGTCTCATCCCAAACTGCTTCCTCTGCACAGAGGCCCCCAGTGGGATTCACTTTGGGGTCGGCTTGAGTTAGCTTTACCTATTAGATTTGCACACAGTAACCCATATAACGATCACTTGTAATAATGACTAACATTTGTTTAGCTTTTGCAGTAAGGGAAGTAGATTCACAAATAAAAACCATCCCTGCTTAAATGCCTGGGTGAGATTATAACAGTTGTGCTGGGGTGGAAACAATTTTCCCTCTATTCTTCTAGAAGGTGAAAACAAAAAAGGCTTAAAAGTGTAAAGGGAAGGTATATTCATTCACACATGATTGCTAAATGCCTATTACATGTTAGGCGCTGTTCTATGCCTTCCCAATCCAGCAGTAAAAAGAACAAAGTCCCTATTCTTGGGGAGTATCCTATTATAGTAAATCAGATGAGAGAAAAGAGTGGCCTGGACCAAAGTGGGAGAGGAGGAAGGGTGAAGAAGTCAAATTTAGGAATAGCTGAAAGTGAAAGCATACAGCATTTGCTGATAATTGGATGAGAAGTATGAAATATATCACGATTAGAATATACATACAGGCAGAACTAAATTTATCTTTGACATTCCTTCATTCCAAGAAACCAAAAGATCAAGGAAAGCATTTAAGCCCTTTGCCTTCAGTACATGAACATGACTAGACCCAGGAGACATCTCTTGAAGTTGTTAAACAATAACTATTTCTACTTCGAATGTTCCCGGAAGGTTTTAAAACCCAATTAATGTTTCCTTGGCATATAGTGACCCCTGTCTGCAGCAATACCGTGTTGTAGAGTAAGCTATCAAGAAGGTGGTGTAGTAGAGTAGAAAGAGTATTCAACTTGGGATCAGATGTGGGTTTCAGTCTCAGTTCTCTTAAGAGCAAGATCTAGTGGCTTAATTCTTTTGTAATCTGTAAAATAGGAATGATTTCAACTAGTTCAAAGAAGGCAATGCTTATGACATTTTCTATACTACACTGTAAGTGTACCAAAATTTTGAAGAGTCTAATACAAATTCTATTTGTATTATAAGCTGGATGTAAATCGAAAGACAAAATATTTTTAATTAAAATAAAAATATGAAGTTCTTGCTGATTTAAAAATAGTTTTTCTTTTTAAAAAATCTTCATTCTCATGTAAAAATTCAAGTACAGAAATGTGGAAAATTAAGTTCTTAGGGGTCTCATCTCCACACACATACTCACTCCCTCCAGTCTGCTGTTTACCCTTCTAGAATCTGTACTGTAGATTAAAAATATTTTACACAGATGGAATCATATGACCCATAACCTTAAAACCTTAAAAACTTATTTATATATTGTGGACAATTTTTTTATGCTAATAAATTTATATCCATTTGATTCTTTTTAAAGCTGACATCAATGGTCCTCAGTCCTAGAACATTAGATTTACTTGGGAAACTTAAAACAAAAACAAAAAACACACCAATGCTCCAAACACACAACTGATCAGCATCTCAGGAGGAGGGGACCTAAATGATAATTTTAATTTCTCCTGAGGTAATTTTCATATTCAATCAGGATTAAGACATGTGTCTAAATAGTACTCTATATTGTAAGTGTACCATAACATTTAACCAATACTGTTTTGATGGATATTTAGGTTGCAAAGTCCATCCACATTCTTGGATATTTGCATATTGTATATTTACCACACTTGTGAATAGACATATTTTGTTTGCTCACTTTTTATAAAGAAGTTAGTTTTGATTAAAAGTCACTGTTAGTCATTGGATTAATGCAGGTTTAAAATATAATAAACACCTATTATAAAAAAAAACCTTAATATTTAAAATTGTTCTACATAAGACTAGTTACATAATTTGTGAGGCCCAGAGCAAATGAAAATGTGGGCCCTTTGTTCAAAAATTATTAAAAATTTCAAGACAAAGGACAGCAGAGCATTAAGCCAAGCGTAGGGCTCTTCTAAATGCAAGTCACATGCCCATGAAACCAGTTTGATTTCTACAACATGCTGGGTTATTTGGTCATGAAGGTTGTAAAAGATTTTTATCATGCGTGATTGCAGTTTAAGATCTTTTCCAATTGAAAAATTATGTAATTCTTAGTAACTCATGTACACAATAGTACATGCTTTACTCTTTACAGTGCATGAAACATATCATTGCCTGTTGATAAAGCATTACAAATGAGTTTTAACTTTTAATATAAAATGAACTTTATTGTACTTGATGCCTGGGAAAACAATGAGAATTATATCTGCCTCCTTTAACTCTAGTCATATCTATCCACTTTGTTCTTAGGGAGAGAGTAAAACAAAAGCAGAAAGCATAGGGAGGTAGACTGAGGACCTAAGTCTCTTAACATCTTGCTCAGAAATTGAGAATCCTCTGAATATAAACATTATATAAGGATTCAGACCCTTTTGTCCCTAAATTTCTATGATATAGAACTTGCACTTTATTGTACTAACATACACAAACTCAAGAGAGAAAAAGTGGCTGCCATATTGACTCTAAGCTTAATGCCAATGGCCATTTATATTATGCCTTCTGAAATATAATTCATTCAATTACAGTGGTCCTGAGGAAGATACTGTTCCTATTTTCCTTAAAATTGAAGCTAAGAGATGTTAAGTGGGCTTGCCCAAGATCACAACCAAGCAGAGCCTGGATTCAAACCTCAAATGCATCTGGCTAAAAGGCCATCCTTTTAACATGAAAAATAGAGGAGAGGGGAGAACACCATATGAAGATAGAGGCAGAGACTGGAGCCATGTGTCTACAAGTCAAGGAATGCCATGGATTGCCAACAACCATCAGAAGCTAAGAGAGAGACATACAGAGAGTCTCCCCTCAAAACTTCCAGAAGGAACCATGAACCCTACCAACACCTAGATTTTGGACTTCTAGCTTCGATAACTATCAGAAAATAAATTTCTGTTGTTTTAAGTTACCAGGTTTATGGTATTTTTTATAGGAGCCCTAGAAAACTAATATACCATACTGCTGCTTTGGAACAATAATGGGATGGTAAGAGGCCAGGAAAGATGAGAATGGTTGTTATTACAAATACTTGTCCCTATAAAGCCATTTATTCCCCTCATATACTGATGGCTGCCTATGGCATACTGAATGCTCACAGGAAGAATACTTTGGGACACCTGCACACTTCTGCTCTACCAGTTGTATGCTTACCAAGAGTCAGTTGTGTTTGTTCCCAGTTCTTGTTATTATAATTGTTTTTTGATTAAATATTATACTTACCAGTTGAAAAACTAGAGGGTAATTTTATTAAGGGCTGTATGCCAGTCCCTCCTAGGGCAGAAAATGAGTGCTCATTAAAGAATGAGCATTATTTTCTAGATCCTGCTGAGTGCCGATATTTTCTAATTCTAACCTGATCTACAAATAAGCTAACCAAGTCATTGAAAATAGTTATATTCTGTGCACACAGTGTGCTCACTGTACTCCAATATTCTACCCAGTTGTTTGTCTGTATTAACTTAATTAGACTCACACAGCCTAGAAATGGTGAAGCCAAGTTTTAAACTCAAGTAGTCTGGCTCAAGAGGCCATTCTTTTAACTACTATCGGATATCGCCTTTCCCCTTGGAGCACACCTCTTGGAATGGCTGAATGCTTTTCTTTAATACAAGGAAGTGTAGAAAAGCAGCAATTGCAAAGGAGCAGGGCCCTAGGGTAAACTGCCTGACTCCATGCCCTATGAAGTCCCACCCAGAACATACCTGCCCTCTGTGAGCCTCATTTCCCCCATCCCTTACGATCATTACTTGCAGTTGTCCTTGCACTGACTGCGTCAATTTTTTAAGAAATATTTTGGCTTCCTTTCATTACCTTTTTTTCTATTTTGGGGGTGCCCTTTCGACTCGGGCGCTAATTTCGCGGGCCCACGTGGGTCAGGTTTGCACACCCGAGGGGCGGGGCGAGCCTGCGCGGCAGCGGCCTCAGGCCCGCCCCCGGGCGCGCGACCGCGCTTGTCCTCCGCGGCTTGCCGTCTTCGCGGCCATGGCGGCCGCCGCTGCGCCACGCGCGTGGCTGGCCCTGCAGCCGGCGGCCAGGACCCTCCGTGCCTTCTCCAGCGCCGTTTCTCCGGCCACTGTTGCCCAGAGTTCAAGACCGCGTGAGTGTCTGGTGCGTCGTCTCCAGGCTTTGGGGAGGAGAGAGGGCAGAATATCGGACCCATGATGGCCGCCGCGGTGGCGCAGCCAGCGCCGCCCGTCGGGTCGCTACGTCCTCTGCTAGCCGGTTGCTGCCCCCGCCTCCCCAGTAGGAAAGCCATGGGTGTGGGTCTGTTCTTTGCGCGCGTGTCGCCCTATTCCTAGCCGCAGATTTCTGCATCTGGGAGCTACCTGCTTGTTCGCTCCCTCCCTTGCGCTCTCTGGTGCTCCGTCCCAGGTCCCACAGCCACTGGCACGGGGTCTCTCAAGTTCCTGGTGCGCCGAAATGTTTCTTGGGCAGTGTTGGACCGCGGATTTTCCAGAACTTTAAGAGCACACGAATGTTCCAGGACAACCTGCAGCTCTGAATTCCAGGCCTCCCTCTGCCACCAAATGGGATGACCTTTATTGATACAGGCGTTATTGAGGTGACCTTCACTCAAGAGAGATTATAGGGATGCCTGAAACCGTTCTTGCCCTGGAGGAACCTCGTGGAAAAAAAAAAAATAGATTTGTTAACGCAGACTATGCAGTGTGAGATGCTGTACCAGAAGCGCGAATAGGGTAACTTGGGAGCATTGAAGAGGAGCCCGCAGGAGTCAGGAAAAGCTCTGTCTAGCAGGGGGCATGTGCAGTCATTCCCTACGTGCTATCCGTGCTACCTTCTACAATATCTCTGTTCTTTATACGACGAACAGCTCAGTCTAGGGCACCATCTCTTCTACAAACAGTTCCTTTACTGATCCTTATTTCCGCTCTTGCTCGCCTACATTGAATTCTGACAACAGCCAGAGTGAAGTGTTCAAAAAGCAAATCTTACCACTTCCTTGTTCAGAATTTACAAATGATTTCTCAATGCTTTAAGAAATATGACACATCCCTTAATGCAGCATGGTGGTTCTTCGTAGCATTAACACTTGTCTCTTTCTTATTTTTAATTCATTCATTCTACAAATACTTAACGCCTACTGTATGCTAGGCAGTGTTCTAGATTCTGGGATACAACAAAGGTCCCTCACCTCATGAAGTTTACATACTTTGGAGGACATCAGACTATAACAGGTAAATGTCAGTACAGTGTCAGGTAGTGATTAGTGCTATGAAGAAAAATAAAGCAGGGTCTCGAGAATGATGAATTGGAGGAGTAGCGAGTATAGAGTAGAATAAGGTAGGTAGTCAAGAAAGACCACCTTGGGGTAATGTCATTTGAGTAGAGCCCAGAACCATGCTGAGACCTGAGAGCATTGTTGGCACAGGGAACTGCAAGTGCAAAGTGAGAATAAGCTTAGGGGTGTGATCAAAGAAAAGAAAGAAGGCCAACATGGCTGGAGCTAAGTGAGCAAAGAAGACACTGGTAGTATAAGATGTCAGAAAGCTAAGTAATGGCCTGATCTTGTAAAGGCTTGGATTTTATAAGTTTGGGATCACAGTGGAAGTTTTTGAACAGAAGTGATATAATGTGATTTACACTTTTAAAAGATCACTGGTTGCTGTGTAGATAGCTAGTTTTAGGAGGGTAAGAAGTGGAAGCCAGATCAGTTTGGAAGCTGTTGTAGTAGTCCAAATGAGATGACAGTGGTATGGTCGGACTTGAGATCTATTTTGAAGGTAGAGCTAATGGAACTTACTGATGGGTTCGGTATTTGATATGGGGCTTGAGAAAAGTCTCAAGGAAATAGATTTTTGTCCTGAGTAATTGGATGAATGGCAATACAATTTATAGGGATTGGGAAGACTGGAAGAAGAAAATCAAGAGCTCTGCCAATGATATGTTATGGTTGAGGTGCCTATTAAATATCTCCAATCTCTTTCTCAATGGTCTTGCTGTTCTAAAGTTTCAAACATATTAAACTGGTTTACTTGATTTTTTTCCATCTTCTCTCTCTCTAGAACACTTTCTCACTTGCCTGTTCCCAGGGCTACCTCCTGCTCATTCTTAAGGTTTTAGCTTAAAGTCAACTTCTTCAAGGAGACTTTCCAACTAATTGACTAGGTTTTATCTCCTGGTAAATGTTTCCATTAATATTTATCATTGTTAATGAAATTACTTGTTAAATAGTTATCTTAACTTGACAGACTTTCTGTTCTTTAAGAGCAAGGACTATGTTTCTTTTGTGCATTGCTGCCATCTGAGTTTTTGATACACAGTAGCACTCAAATAACTTTTGAATGAAAAGGAATTATTACTGAGGGATAAATAAGAATTTGACTGGTAAAGAAATGAGGTAGGAAAGGGGAAGGTGTCAAACGTCCGGCAAGTGGAAGGGAAGAATATTCCAGGCAAAGAGAACGGAAAGTTCAGAAAGACTAAAGGGACTAGAACTAGAAGTTCAGTGTAGTTGTGGTTCTTTGTGAAGAGAGGTGAATTAAAGATGTGAAGAATGTGATGTAAAGTTTAAGAAAATGAAGTCTTGGTCCTTAGTTTTCTTGCCTATAAGTGACCTTTAAACAAGGATAATGGTAGTACTTATAGTTCTTGTGAAGAATAAAATTAAATGAGATAATGATGAAAAGCATTTAGCACATTGTCTAGCAAGTGAAAGGTCTCAATAAGTATAGCTATTATTATTTTAGTGTAGCAAAACATTTAGAGAGGCATAAGGTAATACTTTGAAAGATATATACTGTATAGAAGTAATCTGCCCTCTCTACAGTTATGTACTTTATTAGGAATGGCTATGATTTTTGTTGTTGGCAGTTCTAATATACAATAGAGAAGGAAAAACTCAAGGCTTTGTTTGTTTGTTTTTGATAGAATAATTCCAAATATGAGCAAATACATTATTTTAACTTGGAAATGTGAGTTTAACTATGAACTTTAAAATTTATTGAAAATATTTCTTTAGATAATGAGTTCAGTTTGTATTTAAATAACTGGAATTTTCTTACCTATTTCTGATTTTTCATTAAGATGATTTTAGTCCCTGAGCTTACAGAAATTATTGTTTCATTTTTTTTGCTACTGAATACCTTAAATCGTGTTTGAATTATGGGTTCATGATCAATGGTGAACAACTCTATGTTATAAGATACTCTATAACTATTATTTTCTTTTAGATACAACAGAAAGAACGTCCAAATCTCAAAGGCCACTGAAAAGAAAGGTAAACAGTTAATGTACTCTAATATATATTATCTGAATTGTTTCTGAAGTTCTAAAGTGAGGCAGGTATTCACGATGAGGAAGAAGAATGCTGCCCAAGAACGGTTCATAAGGGGATGTTTGCTTGATGATGACCACAGTCCGGAGTCTAGTGTTTGACTGGTCTCTGTCAGTACCCTGAGAGCGGATCATCTTTGAGAGGTGAATTCACTGATATATTTCCAGGAAACAAGTACATAAACCAGAATGTAGAATTATTTTTGATGATTCTTTTAACAGTCATGGGGCCTGGAATGTATGCATTAATCTAACCCATTTGGCCTCACCCTGTGGGCATCTCCGGAGGAATCCAGATTATGAGGTCACTTGGAGAACGTGGAGTCAGAACAAAGGCACATTAGTTGGAAGTTAAATGACATCAAATTATAATGTCTAGAGCTGTCATGATCATAGGAAAATTAACCTGCTTCCAGGACATATACTGTGCTGGTTTTGATATTGCTTAAACAGGTGTTACTGAATATTTCCTCTTTAAAGGATGCTTTTATACGCTGGCCTTCCCCTTCTATTGAATATAGTTTAACACACACACACACACACACACACACACGTGTTAATGTGATTGGCTAAGCTATCATGTCACTATTCCCTGGCCCTAGGAGATATGCAATTTCTCATTACATATTTTTTCAATTAGTTTGACCCTAATTTACTTATTTCCAAGTTCTCAATGTACTGACTTCCATCAAAGAAGTTTTTAAAATTATTTCAGAATACATCGTTACCCCTTTATAAACAAAATGTAAAAAATTTGCTAAAAGTCTAAGTAAATAAGAGAAATTTTTAGGCAAGGCAACCCTTGGTTGACCTCACAGATTGCAAGCACCTTGTCATCTTATAATTTCTTATTTTTTTATTTGTTTTTTATTTTTGATGCCTACAGCACCTGATCTTCCTAGGTGGTCTCCCATCCAAGTACTAACCAGGCCCGACCCTGCTTAGTTTCCGAGATCAGACAGGATCAGGTTTATTCAGGATAGCATGGCTGTAGATAAGATAGAGAATAGTGAAGAAAATGTGCTATTAAAGGGAATCCTTGCCAGAGGGTTTGAGGAAACAGTGCAGGAATATTTAGGTAGGTTTGGTGTTTTTTCATTTGAATAGCAGCAGTTTTGTAGGAGGTCAGATTTTACTTAGGTTACAGTTTTGCTAGTGTTTTTCTTAATTGCAGGGGTCTTTTTTGCTTTAAAATGAAAAAATGTATTAATGTTTAAAATATTAAACTGCTTTATGTTTCTTAGGCACTACCTCCTAGGACAGAGAAAATGGCTGTTGACCAAGATTGGCCTAGTGTTTACCCTGTTGCAGCACCATTTAAACCCTCTGTAGTACCTCTTCCTGTTCGGATGGGTTATCCGGTAAAGAGGGGGGTGCCCATGGCAAAGGAGGGAAATCTGGAACTTTTAAAGGTAAGATAAGTTATTAGTTTATCAGCTGAGACATATCTAAATACATGGTGATTCTCCTCCCACTCTTAAAATACCCCTTTTCTAATTCGAGTTTCAGTATATAACAGGTTATTGTATTTTAATTTAAATTTTCTCCCAGATAATAATGGATATTATATTTTGATTGCATGATAAAGAAGACTCAAAGAATTCTGGGCATTTAAGAATGTAATTAATTGGTCCTGAGGCCTCCCTTTTGTTTTTTTCTGTTCTACTGTACCTTGTTTGTATTGTATCTTTCAACTAGAACTAAGAAAAGTGAAATATTCTAATTTGAGATCAAGAATTGTGGGGAATCAAGGTTTCATTTTTTTAAAGAGAGATTTTAAAACTTTCTGTCCAGAAAGGTAGAATAATATTGTTGTCTTGAAACAAAATAGGTCATATTAAATGCCTCAGTTTGTAGCATCTATAATGATTTACGAACTATAGGTTTATAAAGAAAATATAAATATGCTTAGCCTGGGAATGCATATATTAAAGGGTTTCCTGTTGCATACAGTGGGATTATCATCAATGAACTATATTTTTCATTAAATGAGAATTTTCTTGAAAAACAAAAATTTGCTGAAAGGTAATACTGAAAAATGAAATGGTAACATGGAGAAGAGGTTGCTTCTGGAGATGGGAAAATGAAATTTGGAAATGAGAACATTTCAAGAGATATAAGAAAACAAACATTGAGGAAACTAACTTTTTTCCAAATGAAAGAGAAGAAGTGAATTTAGTTTAAAGAAAAGGTCTTTGTAAAATTTTACTGGGTGAGAGAGAGTAGCATTTTATTTATAATAATGCTTATGGTTGTGAATAGTATTTTAATAAACATAAAAATCCAAACATTTAATGCACACCATCTCTTTTAAGAATCACCTGTGTGCTTAGTCCAATGATGTGGTCTATTCCTAGAGAATATTGTTGGATAAGCTTATTAACTGAGCAAATATATGCAAAATGTTTAGGACAGTACCTATATAAATGTGTGTAAGGATTACCTATTATTTTTTCCTTTTATAATTTTAAGATTATATTTTTGTTTCAAAAATAAAAGTACAGGAGAATGAAGCCACCCACCCCATAATCCCAATTTTCATTGCCTATTTTCTCTTAATTAAAATAAACTCTTTCTGATCAACACTTAAGATTTCAGTCATAATGTTTAGAGTAACTTTCTGCTTGCTCAACTTTTCTTTCCAAACGAGTTTAACTAAATTTTCCCTTCAGATGCTGAACATTATTCAAGAAATATACTAGCAAATGTTAATTATTTATTTGAAAGATTCAAATCTCTGACCTTTCCTAAACTTCCATTGGCCTTGTGAAAGATTAGGCAGCCTCTTAATCTATCATCATAAATATATTCTCTAAACCATTCAGTTAAGATTCGCTAGCTGCATGTATTCATCCATTTAGTTGTAAAGTATCTACTAAGTACCAGGTAGAAATGTATTACCATGCTGTGTATTCCAAGGGAATTAGGATAATTAAACAATGATCTGGGTCCTTAAGTGTTTTCAGTTTTATATGGGAAATATACATACCTCTAGATTCATGGCAGGAAGAATACTTAAAAAATATGTTTATTTTTTCGAACATCACTGTTTTGGTACTGAATATATGTTTCAAGAAATTTGTTTCTTAAGATCATAACACCTAAAACTGATATTGTAAAAATTACTCAATTTTATGTATTATAAGGTTTGTTGAGCCTCTGATTTAGTTTTATGAGAAAATTATTTTTTTCATGTTTTTAAGACATTTGGATAATTTATCCTTTAAATTTCGCTGTTTTAGATCCCCAATTTTCTGCATTTGACTCCTGTAGCAATTAAAAAGCACTGTGAAGCTCTTAGAGGTAAGTAGTTGTTTTCTTTACATGAACTTAATATTGATTTTGAACTTAAGAATCTTATTTTTAATGATAAAATGGTTGATCTACCAAGAGGATATAACATTTGTAAATATTTATGCACCTAACGTGGAAGCACCTAAATATATAAAGCAATATTAACAGAACTAAAGAAAAAAATAGATGGCAATACAATAACGGTAGGGGACTTCAGTTTCTTTTTTTACAGATTACTCTGCAAGGGGCTTTGAATAATAAATAGAATCAGAAATCATAATCTTTACTTAGGTAGGTTAGGGATTTATTGATAAATTATAGAAAGCACATAAATAAAAAGACTGAAATATTTCAGAGTATTTCCAATAGGTGCAAATCAATATAATTTAAACTGAAGATAGTATAGAAGCATACCGAGTAACTGAGTAGTCAGTGGGGTCAATAATGGTATACTTTGCAGAGAAGAGTTATCTCAAAGAAATTGCTTAAAATTTTAAAGAAAATTGAGCGATATGTACATGTGGTAACATCAAATAATAGAAGAGGTGGTGATGAGAGGCAACAGTCTCATGCTTCTCCTTTCCTTCCCTGGCCCCTCATTCTAGCTAGAAGTGTTCTCTTTTAATCATTATTTAGGGCTGGTAATAACTCCCAGGGAGTATATTTATTTTATGTTTATGTAATCACTTGAATATGATTATACTTCAGTTCTGAATTTATTGATTTTGAACAATAGCTGTTGATTTCTAGATGTAAACATGGATTTCACTCATCCTACTATTTTTCCTTCCATGTGCATAGAAGTAAAGGCAAAAAATATTTTTTTGTTCATGGTTTTATGTGTTTTCATAATATGTATGTGTTCTAATTTCTGGTCTCATTTTCATTGGCCTATAGAATAAGCAAATTTGAATTGTTTTAGATTCACAGCTGTTAGTTATTGAATGTGTAAATTTAATTCAAGAGTTAGTACCTTTTGATGAAGTCTGAAATTAATGCTGACTTAAAGATATGTAAATGTGCAGTATACTTGTTAAAACTTTTCAGGAAAGAAAAAGAAATCTAGAAACAGTTCACAGGTAGCTTAATTATGCTAGAAGGAGAAATAAGGATAGTGAACATGATTGTGATGAAATTTTAGCTTTTGGGAGGGCCTTCTATTCAGAAATATAAGGAAGAAGATATGAAAGAATCTTAAAAAGTAGAAATAATTAGCTTACTCTTGAAATGAGGGAAGGAAAATTTTTTTCTCCTTTTATATATGTGCTCTTCTGTTTTGGAACATTGGCATGTTTTTCTATTTCTTTAGGTTTCTATATTCATCAGTACCTGGTGTTAGACTGTCACTAATCACTGCTACAAATTTGTGCTCCATTTGGCACAAACTATGTATCACATTTTGATCCTTTGACACTGATAAATTGCATTTTTTCCCTTTATAAACATTGTTTTTAAATGTGTATTTGTAATGTAGAAACTGGCCATTGTAATGAGATATTTCTAAAATACTTCATAATTTTTAAATGAAAGGCTTTCATATAGCACATTCAGAAAAATAGCATATTTTACAGTGTTTAAGGGAGCATTTTAATCTTTTCTTAATATTGCCTTTATACTTCTGCCAGCTTCTGGATTTAGATTGTATCTTCCAAATAATTCAAAGGCTTTTCAGATATTTCTTCTCAGTTTTCTTTTAAAGTAGGTCAGTTTAGATTTTATATCTAACTTGCAAATGGAAAATCTGAAGTACTGGAAAGTTAGGTAATTTACCAAAATTTTAATAATCAGTGGCAAAGTTAAGTAAAAACCAAGGTCTTCTGAAGTCTAGTCATTGCTCTACCTATAAGATGAATAAAGCCTAATAGAGGTCCATTAGGTACTTTCCAGTTGGCTGTATTTTTTTAAACATTTAATTAGGTCATTTAATATAAAAACTGTAATTATCATCTGGTGATTGAAATGACTTGCTTAAAGTTAAGAGAAAAAAAAATTTAGTACAAACCCAGGAACTCATAAAATTCCCCAAACTAGTTTCTCTTATAAAGTGCTTGGTTGGCACTGTTGCATCTTATATGGCAAGATATTGGAGTTAGTCCATGATAGGAATGAAATTACCTCAATAATCTTGCTCTGTTCATTTTATTTATATGGTGAGATGTTCTTAATTGCAAAGATATTTCTTTCCCTTCAAAGTGTCTTGAGTATTGATCTCTTAAACAGAGTGTTGAGGGAATTGTGTGAACAATTGTGTGTGCACTTAATTTGCTAACATATAGTTAGTCCCAGATCTTAGAAAGTCTTTGTAACGCAGAGCTACTGACTCTGGTGTTAAAGCCCAAATGGGAGTTAAATATAGTAAGTACTATAAGAAAATTGTAAGCTGGGGGGAAATGTTATTGGCAGAGTACCTTTCACTGCCCCCTAGGTCTTAGAACTCCCATGTCTACTTGTGATTATGACCAGCCTCTCCTACAGCGCTACTGTTTTGGGGAAAGCACAGCTTCATGAGATCTAATGTGTTTGACCTAAGAAACTAATCACTTTTAGCTATTCTTAGAAGGATGCTATTTAAGAAAGGAGATTTCCATTGGCAGGAGCCTGATAGTGCCAGAAGTTTTCATCTCAAGCTCAGAGCCCTGTACCACACTAACTTGACAGAAATAGGGCAAAAGGAAATCAGCTAACTGTGGAAGGCTGGGAGCTCTTTTCCTTCTAAGTCCCCCATGCCACACCACCTCCCAGATGTCATCTGAGTTTACACCTCTGTGCTATGGAGATAGACAGTGAGTCATGTTCTCAGTGCTTAGAACTTCTTCCTACTGTGGCCCAGGCCTCAGACCTGATCCCACCTCCTCTCTAGGCTGGCTATCTTGCCTGAATATGAGGTGAAGTCTGTTCCTCTTTCCGTTTAGCCCCAGTGGCTCAGAAGTCATATAGGAGAAACATGAGTTACTATCAGGATCCATTTAAGGATGACCTAGGCCATTGTACCTGTTTCAATTTGAGGCCTCATTCAACTTAGCTTCTGAAAGAATGTTGACCATGTCTCAGTTTTCTCTTAGAGTTTTTCTAGAGCTTCTTTCAATTCCCTTCAGCTAATCTTTAGTAACCTTTATTTGGTAGTGAATTGATATTATCTGTTGCCTTTTCAAAAACAATGATGAGCTCGGAATGTCATAAACTGTTTGCTCTTAGTTAGTGAGGAGGAATTAACTGTCCCGTAACAGGTATATACAAAGCCATAATAAACTTCTGTCAAGTCACAGTTCCCTTTTAACTGAATTTACTCCTCCCCACCAAACCTGAACTGCTCAAATCATTCCCTTAGTAGGATTCACCTAAAAAGAAAAGGGACAAGAGTTGATGATCTATAAAGTACAGAATAAAATCTATTCTTTCATTTCATGTTACCTGAGAGTGACCTCTCTCAATAATTTGGTTTTGTCAGGTAGCATACATTACAATGAGAATTTACTTGCAAAACTGTAATCGAGATAATGTTTTTTTAATTCTCAGATTTTTGCACTGAGTGGCCAGCTGCACTAGACAGTGATGAGAAATGCGAGAAGCATTTTCCAATTGAGATTGACACAGCTGATTATGTTTCATCAGGACCATCTATTCGAAACCCCAAAGCACGAGTAGTCACCTTAAGGGTAAGAGATAAAAAAAAAATTACTATAATCCATCATTTTAAAATAGCATTTAGTATGTATTATTAGAGAACTGAAATATTTATCATAGGAAATTTGGATGATATAAAAGTGTTTTAAAGTATAAAATGAAATTGCCTATAATTCTACTACTCATGAATGACCACTGTTGACTACAGGAGCTCAATTTAATATAGATGCAGTCAGCCTTGAGTATGTTAATGGGATGACACTATCATTTGATTAGTTATTTGTACTTTTTCTTTTTGGTAATATGAATTAAAAATTTTCCTACAATATTAAATATTCTTTAATATTATTTATAATGGGTGCATAGAACAGCGTGTAAACAAAGGTCTTTTGTGTACCAAGACAGTGTTTGAGGCTGGGGTACAATGTTGGTCAGTCAGAAATGGTCCTTTTTCTGACACTAAAGTGGAGAGATAAAAACAATTCCATATCATAGATCTTCCACAATTTATTTTAATTATACATATTATGAGATCTTTAGTCTTTCTAACAGTTTTCTTTATTAGAAAATGTAATGAATATCCTTAGTAATTAGTAATTATGTCTAACCCTAATTATATTCCTAGGATAATTTCCTAAAAGGAGAACTGTCATATCAAAGGATATAGATCTTTTTTAAGTTTTTTGACTATATGTCATAAATTCCTGCAGGAAATATAAAAAATACACCAGCCAATTATGAAAAATCCTGTTTTTCTGTACCCTCACCAACCTAGATATTATTATTACCTATCAATTTGATAGGTAAAAAATATATCTTATTTTCAAAATTTGTGTCTTTTAATCCTCATGAGGGTGAGAATTGATTCCTTTATAAAATGCTTTTTTTTAGTCTTTTGCCCATTTTGATGGTATTTGATTTCCTGTAACTTAGTTTTTCTTTTTAATAACAGCTTTATTGAGATATAATTTATATACTAAGAATTCACCCTTTTCAAGCACATAACTCAGTGGTTTTTAGTATATTCAGAGTTGTGCAACTGACACCACTGCCTAACTCCAGAAATTTTTATCACTGTACCCATTATCAGTCACATCCCATTGTTCCCCCTTTTCCCCACCCCTAAGCCCCTGTCAATTACTGATCTACTTTCTGTCTCTGCGGATTTGCCTATTCTTGATATTTCATATAAATGAATTATACAATGTGAATACTCTTACTTAATATAATGCTTTCATTGTTTCATCTGTTGTAGCACATACCTGTTCATTTTTTTATTGCCAAGTAATATTCCATTTTATGAATATACCATATTTTATTTATTCATTCATCAGTTGGTAAACATTTGGGTTGTTCTCACTCTTTGGCTATTATGAATAATGTTTCTATGAACATGTTTTTGTGTGGACATAACGTTTTCAATTCTATTGGATATATATCTAGCAGTGGAATTGCTGGTTCATATTGTAACTTCATGTTTAACATTTTGAAGAACTGCCAAACTGTATTATAAAATGGCTGCACTACTTTATTTTTTTATTTTTTTTTAGGGGAGGCAAGCCTTGGTTGACCTCACAGATTGCAAGGACCTTGTCAGTTTACAATCCCTTATTTTTTATTTTTTACGCCTATAGCACCTGGTCTTCCTAGGTGGTCTCCCATCCAAATACTAACCAGGCCTGACCCTGCTTAGCTTCTGAGTTGGCTGCACTACTTTAAAGTTTCACCAAAAATGTTTGAGGGTTCTATTTTTCTTAACATCCTCACCGAGGGGATTACTGTCGGTCTCTTTAGTTTTCGCTATTCCAGTGGGTGTGAAATGGTATCTCATTGTGATTTTGGTTTACATTTCCCTAATGATTAATGATGTTGAGCACTTTTTCAAGTGCTTCTTAACCATTTGTATATTTTCTTTGGTGAAATGTCTGTTTCATTAAATCTTTTGCCCATTTTTTAATTGAGTAATTTTTGTTCTCATTGTTCGATGCTGTTTTTTTTTAATGCATATTCTGGATACCTGTCCCTTCTCAGATATATAACTTGCAGATATTTTCTCACATTCTGTGGGTTATCATCTCACTTTCTTGATGGTGTCTTTTTAAGCACAAAAGTTTTAGTTTTGATGAAGTCTAATGTATTTTGGGGGCTTATTCTTTTGGTGCCATATGTAAAAAAACATTGTGGAATTTAAAGTCATGAAGCTTTATTCCCATGTTTTCTTCTAAGAGTTTTAGAGTTTTGTCTCTTACATTTAGGTCTGTGGTCCACTTTTAGTTAATTTTTGTACATAGTGTAAGGTAGGGGTCCAACTTTTTTCTTTTGTATGGGGATATTTATCTGTCTCAGCATTATTTGTTGAAAAGACTGTTCTTTCCCCCTTGAATTATCTTGGCACCCTGGTCGAAAATGATACAGTTATTTTTTAACTTTTTACTTGACTAATTTACCAAATTGTTTTTTAACCTTTTACTGTGAAAATTTCAAATATATGGAGAAATAGAGTAGTATGATAAACACACATGGCACTTTGTTGACAAATGTAAAATATAGAGTGCTTCATGTGCTCATACACATGTGTGTGTATGTATCTGTGTGTTTTTGGTTTACGAGTTTACTTATAAATTACTAATCTAAATTTCACACTAAAATACTTCAGGCTGTTATCTTTAAAAATTAAAAAGATTTTCCTGTATTATTCCTTAATATGATATAAAATACCTATTTCATATTCAAATTTCCTGAATCGTCTCACCAAAATTTTTAAAGTAGCTTTTGTTTAAACCAGAAATTAGTCAAAGACAATTGCATTTGCTCGTAATGTTTCTTATGTCCTTTGAAATCTAGAACAGCAAAGGACCTTAATACTTCTCTTTCCTTCTTCCTACTCTCCCAGGGACGTAGACTTGCTAAAGAGACAAGTATTTTATCCTGTAGCAATTCCGACATTCTGAATTCGAATGCATCCTGATGTCATTTACCTTATTTCTCTATCTTTTACCTTATTTCTCCTGTATTTTGTATAAACTGGAAGTTAAGATTTAAGGAACCGAATAGATTACAGTAAAAGATTTTGATAGATACACTTGATGTTGCTATGTATTTTATATTGCATGACATGAGAAGGCACATAAAGTTTGGTTGTCTCATTCTTAGTATGCTGAGATTGATCACTTCATTATGAGGATAACAACCTGATCTTTCCATTGTGAAGTTACATATTGGTTTTTGCTTTTTCCTTGAACAGGTAATCTGTAGGTGGATATATTCAATAAGCTTTGATCAACTAAAATCATTATTCTTTTTGATGTTCAAAGTGTGTCCTAGCTTTGGCTCGTGGGAACTGTTCTAAATTGGTTTCTGTATCATTTTTTACAATCCCATTAGCATTGGAAAATTTCTTTGCATTCTGGCCCAACAAGATGGCCCAGGCTCACTTTATGTATTTATTTTCCTAGACCTGGAAATTTTTTCCACAGAGCTCAGATACCTTTTAGTGAACATTGGTGTTTAGAGACCAAAATCTGGATGCTAGGACTTTTCAGTTGATTTTTTTGGAGATTTCTCAGGAAATAAATGATAACTAATAGTATTTTCAATTCTCCTTTTTTAATATCTATAGCCTGATTTTTCTTTTCGTCTTTTGCATTAGATAAAATTTCTAAAATAATGTTTATGTAGTCACTTACGCTGTTCCACACTTTAATGGGTGTGTGTGTCTCATTAGCCTCTAAATATGAGATTGGATTCAATTTGAGATAATAGTCTCCATTATGTTAATGATATATCCTATTTCTCATTTACTAGCATTTCGAAATGATCTCTTTTGAGTTATTGAAGTAATGAATTATATTAATAGATTTTTAATTACTGAACCATATCTGAACCCTGATTAATTTATGATATATCATTCTTTTATTCTATCACGATTTGCTTTGTTAGTATTTTATGTAGGGTAATTTGTCCTTATCATGTTGCTTTGGGAAAACATCCAGTCCCTACTCTCACTCACCAGGGGGCTTGCCATATGCCATTGCAGTTTCAGGTGTCTGCCCTAGTAACTTCTAAATTAGTATTTGAATCCACTGTTAGTTTCCTTTGCTAAGGAAGTCTTGATATACATAACACATCATTTTCACACAACAGTCATGGAGCAGTTACCCAATACACTTTTTTTTTATTAAACTTTTTATTTTCAAATAGTTTTAGATTGACAGAAAAGCTTCAAGAATAATTCATACCAAATTTCTCCTGTTGTTAACATCTTATATTACTGTGGTAAATTTGTTACAATTTTGATAACATTATTAATTAAAGTCTATACTATATTTGGATTTCTTTACTTTTTACCTGATGTTCCTTTTCTGTTCAGAATTTTATCCAGTGTACTAAATTGCATTTAGTCATCGTGTCTCCTTAGGCTCTTGTTGGCTGTAATGGTTTCTCAGAATTTTCTTGTTTTTGATGACTTTGACACCTTTGAGAAGTACTAGTTATATATTTTGTGGAGTGTCCTTCAATTTAGATTTGTTATTGTTTTTCTCATGGCTAGACTAGTATGTATTTGGGGGAGGAAAACCTCAGAAATAAAGTGCCATACTCATCACATCATAGCAAAGGTATAGAGGCTCCTAACATGACTTATCACTGATGATGTAGCCTAGGTCATCTGACTGAGGTAGTATTTGCCAGTTTTTTCCACTATAAAGTTACTCTTTTTTTCTTCCTTTCCATACTGTACTCTTTAGAAGGAAGTCACTATGCACAGCTGACACATAAAAGGTTGGGAGTTAATGCTCTACGTTCTTGAAGGATAAATGTCACATAAATTACTTGGAATTTTTCTGTGTGGGAGATTTCTGCTTTCCACTTATTTATTCAGTTATTTATATTAGTATAGACTCATGGATATTTTATCCTTTGGGTTATAATACAATAATATTTATTTTGTTGCTCAAATTGTCCTGGCTTTGGCCATGGGAACTCTTTCAGTTGGCTCCTCTGTTCCTTTGCCATCCCCTATTATTAGTTTTTTAAATACTTATTTTTTGGCACCACAAAATGCACCAGGCTTATCTTATATATTCCTTGTCGCAGTCCTAGAATCAGCCATTTCTCCAGGGAGTGCTCACTGATATACTTTTGATTCATCTGTCCTGGAGGATGACTGCCCACCTTTTTGAAGTGCCTTCTAGGACCCTCTCAGAATTAGTTTTTGTACTCCATGTAGTCTTGTATTTTAAGTCAGAACATTCCAAATATAGTGAAGACTACAGTTTTGCAGTGCCTTTGAGTGCTAGCAGGTGGCGTGAGTGCACCACACAGCTGTGTCTGAAATATTTATAAGCTTCTGGCATAAACCATAATTTTTGAACACTAAAATGTTAGTGTGAACATGAATTTTAAAACAGTTGTTACAGTAATGATCAACATTGCTGCCTCTTTTTTTTTAACTAATACTTACACAAAAAGCTTGAACACAGATTTTTTAAATGCTAAATTTTAAAATTTGTGAAACGATTTCATTGATGGGAATTTTAAAAGGAAAAATCTCTACATTCTCACTATCCTAATGTAAAAACTATTCATTTCTTTTTCTCTGCTATATCTTTTCATAATTATGAAAATTTGCATGTTTTCATAATTAATAATCATGTAGGTACATTTAATGATTTTCTTATAAATAATTCCCCACATTGTTAATAATTAGAGTTATCGTAAAATCGCTTATTTTATCCATCAAGCTGACAGCCTGGTTATTGATACATTATTTTTTTCGAGGGAATTGTGGTAATTCACAGCGTCTTCAACATACGACCATTCTATTGGATTGATTTTTAATAGTCAGTGTTCTTACCACTTATATATTTTAAGAGTGTGTTTATATGTATTTGTTTTCTATGTTTTCTACTGCAAATAAACATAGTGCTTAAAAAACAATATATCCTCCTTTGTTCTCATCTGTGTATTCATTCAGAAAATATATGCTGCATGCTTTTTAAGTGCTAGACCATTGTCAAGAACAGGACTTCTTTCTTATCTTCAGGAGTTTGTAGTCTAGTGGGAAAAATGGAAAAATAAGTAAGTTCTTATGGTATGTTGAGGGAAGTGCAAGGTTATTGAAGTTAGAAGAAATGGATGAGATTGTAAAATCTTACGCTTTTTTTTTCTTCATACAGTTATAACTCTTATTCTTAATTTCCTCCATGAAAAATAGTATGTAGTTTACCTTATTTAACTATACTCTAGTGTCTAACATCGTTCTTTGTTAAGCCTATTTATCTTTAGGTGATACCCTCAGTGGTCCTAATTGTAAATTAAAAAGTGTGTTCATTTAGTCCAGCATTTTCCAAAATATGTTTTAAGAAAGATTAAGTCAATGAACTGTCCCTTGAAATATGAAATCTGAGGTCAAATAAATTTGGGAATCATTACATAACATCCCTGAATCTTGAAATTTCAGAACACTCATTAACATATTACCACCTCTAAGAAATTCTCTCGTAAAGAACCCAATTTAACTCAACATTTCCTGACTGTATTCAACAGAAGTAGCCTTTTTAAAGAAATAATTCTTAGCAGCCTGTAGGATTAGTATTAACATTTTGAGAAATGTTGAGCTAAATTATTTCAAATGTTTTTGATTCTTTAATGGTGTATTCCAGCCTCCATGAGAGTTCTGTATCTTTTAAAATAAATGCCCCTAAGCTAGTTGAAATGAAATGGGTCTCATAATTGTATAGCAGAAATTTCTTAGAGTCCTTACGTTTTATCTATTTATTCGTATATTCCAACTTTACTAATACTAATTGAGTTTAATTCTATTAGTGCAACTCATAAGCACCCTAATTTCATTTTTTTCAGAAATATGTCATTGATTTTTTTTTCAGGAAAAGTACTAATGCCCAGAACTTTTAAAGAAAGAACTCTAAGCAGTTTGCTCCCTCTCCCTTTTTTTTTCCATGAGTAAAAGATCAGGCCTCATAATGCATACCAGTTGCTAACTCTCTATAGAAAGGAGTTTGAAAAGGTTTCCTTTTGCTCATTTTAATGTTAATTTAAATCATATTGCTACTGTTTTTTCATTAAAATGTATATAAAATAATTTTTTTTCAAAGATTTTTTTTCTTCTGATTTTAAGGTTAAACTTTCCAGTTTGAATTTAGATGATCATGCAAAGAAGAAACTTATTAAACTTGTAGGAGAGCGATACTGCAAGACCACAGATGTGCTTACTATCAAGACAGATAGGTAATAAAGAAAAGTTCAGCAGATTGGTCACAATCTTTATTGTCCTCTAGTCCCCTTGTAGTCCGTTTTTAAGAAATGACGTTGCAAATAAGGATTGCTTTTTATGTCAACTTATATTAACTTAATAGGTCAGAGAAGTTGTCTGATTTATATTTTTAATATCCTCACACTAGCCCACTGTTGCTGTGATCTTTATATATATGGAGAAGCTTGCCTTGATGAGTTAAATTATTGTTCTTTTTAACCTTGATTTTAATATATATAATAAAACTCCAGGAAGATGTTCAAAGAAAACAAAAGTATGATTTACTAGCGATTAATGCTTAAAAAGGTTTTTACAAAGTCAAAGTACATAAAAATCTAATAATTCACAATGAAAATTCTTAAACATGGAAATTTAATTTACTAAGGTACTTTCGTAAATAAGAATTTTAGTGCTAGCAAAGAAGTTCATAAGTGCAGTATTAAATTTATGTGAATTTATAAATTAGGTCATTTGAGGTAAAGAAACATTATTGGTATGTTTTTCCTAAATGATTATTTTAGTTCCAGAATTGTACTTTGGTCATTTCTAAATTATGTCAAAATATAAAAGACCTGCCTTTAGAAAAAAAGCAAGTGAGCAGATATCCTCTCTCCCTCCCTATCACAGTTTCAAAGAATTTGGAGGTATTGATGTCAACTAGGTTTTATATCCTGTTTAGTGGTGGGAAGAAGGAGCATGAAATGTGAGAAGGCAATAGCATAGAGGTGGAAAGAGCTTGAGAACCATGATTTCAGATTATTACTGTCTGAGGGGAAAATAGACTTGAAATATATTAGTAATATTCTTTTTGCTATCTTTAGAAAATGTGAAATATTGTGTTTCAGTTTGTGCAACTTAAAAAATACCTTTAAAATGTTATTGTTTGCAGTTGTCTAATTGTAATGTAGCTTTTTCCCCCTAAGTTTACAAATGTCAGTGTGTGTATGTTTTATGGTAACAACTACTTAGATAAGTAGAGAACGGTTAAACTTAAGTATAAACAAAGTCATGGTTTTATTGTACATTTAAAGAAATTATAATTCCTTCCTTTTCTATATTATTTTGTTAACCTAAAAACTAAATATACCATCTCATGTTTATGTACAAGTTTTACCTAATATTAGATAATTAGTTCTATTTAAAATACAACAGCAGCAACGTATCATATAGTGGAGCTCATTTTTAAAGAATTGGCTCTGGGCAAATCAAGATGGACATTTAGATTAGCATCTATCATCAGTCTGTCTCAAAGTTTTCAATCTTAAGTCTTGGACTACATAGATTAGTCTTATTCTAAGAACAAAATTTTCCTAAAGCAGATAGGGAATACTTGAATATAAGTTATCCTTTGTATTTAATATTTGTATATTTTGTAAATCTGTATACTGAAGTTTTAGAATTTTGACTTCTCTCTCTTTTGAAGGTGCCCTCTAAAGAGACAGAATTATGATTATGCAATGTATCTGCTAACAGTTTTATACCATGAGTCTTGGGTAAGTGACTGTGTGTGAATGATTAATCTTTTTGTCAGTGTAATTTAGATGATATTTTAATCTTTCAAAGTAGTCTGTGTCTATCAAACACTCAATCGTGTGTTTAATGAACCACTAGCTATACCAAGGATATATGAAATGTTATAGATAGCTTCTACTGACATTGAAAGTGAAGATCTTGAAATAGATTATGCAGTTCATCTCAGGATCTTATAGAAATAACATGACTAAAATACCCTTAAAATTCAGAGTTTCTGACTTTGGTTGGAAAATTCAGAACTTTAAACTTTTTTTTGTTTGTCTTTTTGACTTTGGCTGAAAGTTGGCCAAAGTTATGAAGGATAATCATTATCTGTATAACTTGAGAATTTATAATTCACCTTGCAAATAAACTGCAGAACAAAGCTCCAGAACTTTATACAAGGTATTTTAAATTTTTATTAAAATTTTATTAAAATTTTTAGTTAACATATAGCCTTTCATGTAAACATTTCACTGGTATACATTAGAGACAATTAAGGGCAATTAATTATTTAAATAGTATTAAAAATAGTCTTGTGTCTGACTGACTTTATTGAGTTTTAGTATAAGCATGTACATTTATAAGGAAGATTTTGCTCTGCTTTAGCATCAACTCATTTGATTTAAAGTTGGTAACTAACATGTTTAGTTAGTTGTAAATATTGTTGTAAATATTATTTTTAACAATTAAAATAATTTTATATATGCATACAAATTAAGTTTTTTGTAGCTTGCCCAACAGACATGGGCTTCAATAGCATTTCATATTAGGAGCATTTGATTGAATGGAGATAGCTGGAGAACGAGTCACTTTCTTTAGGTGTTCAAAGGGCTGCATATGAAAGAGGGATGAGATTTGTTTTTCATGACTTTTAGGGATACAACAAAGTAGGAGCAATAGTGAAATGGATTTCAATTCACTGAGTAAAAACTTTGTAAGAGCGTCATCTAAAGATGGAGTGGCCTACTCTAATAAGTAGAAAATGTTCTCTTGACTACTTAGTTGGGGCTGTGGTGAAAGGAACATATTCCTTGGATAGGTAAGTTGCATTAGATGTCCTTTGGAACCTTCTCCCCGTGAACTATTGTAATTCCGTGAACACATGAAGCCATTCTCTAAACCTGCTCACATCATTTCATTGATATTAAAACAGTTACAGCACAGGAGGATGAGTGGAAAACAAAATTTCGTCACTAGGTTTGTAAAGAAGAAAAAGTAGCAGGTAGCTTTTCTCTTCTTTTGAGGTAGTCTAATTATTATAATTCATCTGGATTTTCTAGTTCCTGCCTTCAGGAGCAATATCATAGTAGCAGTTAATCTCTCCTTTCTGTCAATTGATTTTATAAATGCCTTTGGCTTAAGGTAATGACCAGCAACATGGCTGAATTAACTACAGCTCTATGGCTACCCTTAAAGAGTTAATACCAAACAATAAAAGCCAATTAGTTTTGAGACTTATTTTACCAGCAGCCTGTTAAATGAATTTACTCCTAAGAAAATGACAGGCATAAATAAATTCAGTGAAAGTTGACTTAACTGGATGTTTTTTGTGGTTCTGTTACATAGAATCCAAACAAGTTTGTATTCTGGATTCATGCAAAAAGCCTTTGATCTTTAATGCTAATTACTTTGATGCCAGAATAAGTAGCCACATACTTCTGTTGTAAACAGATATAATTAAAGAATTCCTATATTAAACTTGGCTCTTGATTCTTTCTAAACAAGTACCATCAGTGAAGAAGCTTTAACGGCAAATGAGCCGTGAAATTTTGCAGAGCTGGTGGAACAGAATTTTTATTGAATTGAAATTCCTTTTTTCTTTTACCAGCATGAAATTCATGCTTGAAATTGATGTTACTCTTGGTATTTAATTAAATATTTAGACAGCCCCCTTTAAAACCATTTCTTTATTTTTTAAGCTAGTTTCAGAGCATTTAATATGTAAGTAGTAAGTAGTGTTGAGAAGAAAGTAGTAGTTTTATGTAGCACACAGTACTGAAACGTCTCTGAAAAGGTGTTCAGTCTAAGGAATTCACTGTTGTGTGCTCTTCAAAACAATTTAACTGTAGAAGTATCAAAGTAGACTTTAAAAAAACAGATTTCACAAAGCATAAACTTCAAGCAGAGAGGCTAGTAAGGCTTCAAAGAATGATTATTGCAGTCCTAAGAAGGTAAAAAGATCTACATCAGACCATTTATACTTTAGCAGTTCAAAGAAGCAAAGAGACTTGAAATTTGTTTTAATATTCCAGTATTATACATTATTAGCATAAGAGTGAATTAAGTTTTAATCTTTAAATCTGTACAGACTTGGATTTGAATCCTATTAATGTTACGTGTGTATCCTTGGCCATTTAACCTCTAATGCTCAGTTTTTGGATGGATTGAGAAGAATTTACATGAAATATCTGGCAGATAGTTAGCTCTCAGTATATGGTAGCTGTCCATATTGTTGTTAATATGCAAATGAAAGATTAATCTTAGAATTTTAAATTCATTTATTCACTATTTCTGTATACAGCTCACATTTCATTTGACAGAGACTTTATTCAGGTAGTCTGACCTGTGCCCTGTTGTATTTAAATTTTTAGAACATGTATCCTGCTCACATTCTAACATAACACAATAACAAAACTTCCTAAATAGCTTTGTTCCATGGTATTCTTTAAACCTTCCACAAATGATTTAGTTAAGAAATGATTGGATGAAACATTTTGGAAAGTAACTTGCACGAAAGATAGACTAAAACACTGACCCTGGAAGAAAGAAAAAAGCGCTTGCTTTAGAAAACAGAGATCTGATATTAAGTCCAAGGGTTCTTGGATAGTTTTGATATTCAATTACTAATGGTTGCTTTTTTAAATTTGAATTTTTGGCTATTTTTATCTAGCTTTTATGATAGTCTTGATGCTAGTGAAAAATATATCTAGCTTTATAATAAAGTGGTTCTGAAAAGTCATATAACAAAATAATCTAAGTTGGATAGCTTCACACTCACTAAAAGAATTAATTTTTAAAGGGGACCTTGTTGCAAGTATTTCTGACAAAAAAATGAATCCTTTTGCAGAGCCATTTAATGTTTGGTTTATAGGTTCATTGTGATTGTGCATGTTCATTACCAGGTTATATTAGAGAACTCTTGAACTGTGTTTGTTATTTTATTTACTCTTTCTTGCATTCAACAATGATTTTGTTTTTGTGTACATGGTACAACAATAAGTATTTGTAGGCTATCAAAATAAATGAGCCTCTGCCTTTGAGTACTTTTACTTCTGGAAGGAATCGATGGTTATAATATATGTAGAATCAAAAGTTACCTGCGGATTTTCCCTGCAGGGGGTTGTGCCCCTAACCCCCACGTTGTTTAAGGGTCAACTCTAGTCTTTTTCACTAGATAATAAAGGTAGGAACATAGTATTGTGAGAGGCTCAGACAAGTATTAATTCTCCTTGGAAGCTTCACAGAAGTGGCGACTGCTTTTGGAAGATGAGTAGGAGTGTGAATGAAGACGTGGTGAATGAAGAGACGTGGGTGAAGGACTCTAAGCCTTGTGGGTTTACAGAGCAGGCAGAAGTTTGGTGTGGCCAGTGTGTAAGACTTAACAGGGCAGAGGTAGGAAATGAGACTGGAAAAGTAAGTCAGACCCGAATTGCAAACAGATTGTATAGCTTATTTACAGAAAAATATTGGTTATCCCAGCAAGACACATCTCTTTAATGTGAAATGTCTTTGTGCATAAACTTATGTATAAACTAATTATGCATATACTAATATTACAGTGTTTATTAAAGAAAAGCAACTAATTAAATACATTAATTGAACTCCCAGATTGAGTCTGAGCATTGATGGTAGACCAATAACAGTAAAGAGTTCTTACATGCTACCTTTTACTTGACTCCAGACAAATAGCACATCTGGCCTTTTTTTAAAAAGTGGTTCTGTGATGAGAGTCAACTGTCTGTCTCTGACTTTCTTTTTTTTTCTCTGTGCTGTCTCAAATGCTCACCTTGGATACCGAGTTGTATCCAGAGGTCAACATTGGGCTGAGGTAGCATTTTACTAGTTGTTTTTGAGAAAACACCTCTTTCATAGTGGTTTTAGTATTTATGAAAGAGTAAACCATCCTTATTGCAAATATCAAGTGTGCTTTCATTAAAATGAACTTTTAGTTGGTTGATGGGCAAATAAATGTTTACTGGTTGCCTGATATTCACTAGGTGTTGTTGGATATGGAGGTTAATGCCTAAGGGGAAAAACATTATGTCTTCTGTTGAGGAACACTAGTAGAAGCAAGTTGGTTTAGTAGTAAATATTAAAGTGTTATAAAGGTTGTATAATTTACTATTTTTTTATTCTTCACTATGGATATATTTCTTATATATCCTTACTGACTTTGATACCTGCTTTGAACCTCTTTTTTTAAATCGAGATATAATTGACATATAACAGTTTCAGATATACATCATAATGAATCAGTGTATGTATATGTTGTGAAATGATCACCAAAATATGTCAAGTGAACATCTGTAGCCCCTCATTTTTTTTTCTTGTGATGAAAACTTTCAAGATCTACTCTCTCAGCAACTTTCAAATAGACAGTACATTATTGACTCCAGTCACTATGCACTATAGTACATCCCCATGACTTATTTTATAACTTGCAGTTTGTACATTTTGACCATTCTTACCCATTTTACTCACCCCTCTCTGCCAGGCCCCTGACAACCACTAATCTGTTCTCTGTTTCTATGAGTTCAGATTTTTTTTGTTCTGTTTTGTTTTGTTTTTTAGATTCCACATGTGAGATCATATGGTATTTATTTTCCTAACTTATTGCCCTTAGCATAATGCCCTTGAGGTCCATCCATGTCGAAAATGGCAGGATGTTCTTTATTATGGCTGAATAATATTCCACTATGTATATGCATATCATGTATTTTTTATTCATTCACCCATTGATGGACACGTAGGTTTTTTT